TCAGAAATCAGTAAAAAATTAAAATAAAAAAGTATTACATAAATCTCCTTTTTCCCCACTCACCTCTCTCCCACTACCCCTATCCCCTAGCACATGCCTACTGTCTGTGCCCATTGGTTATGTTCATATGTATGCATACAAGTCCTCTGGTTGATCTCTTACACCCCTCCCCCAATTACTTTCTTAATATTATAAAATAGCCAGTCAGTGTACACACACACACACACACACACACACACACAAAACCTATGGTAAAACTGGTGTCATTTTGTTATTTTGCTTAAAATCACAGAACCTATTGACAATGGTAAGCGAGGACTTACAGTACCACAAACTATGATCAACTGTTGAGAGACATTTAGGTTGTTTCCAAGTTTCAGCTATTACCAATCAGCTGCTGTAACATTCATAAACAATTAAATGTATAAACATATGCTTTCTCTCTGGCAAGAGGACTGGTTTCCAGCCACGGGTATTCTGGGGGGGAGAGGGGTCACAGCATCCCAGGCAGAGCTGAGAGGAGCAGCTCATCTGGCTAATGCTGAGCAGGTGGCAGGACAAATGCCTGCCCCTCCCCTGGGCCCCACGCCTTCTGCAATCATCTCCTGGGGGCTGTTAAAGCCACTGGGAGCCCCACTGGCACCTCAGAATCAGTGTTACTGATCGGGATGTATGGCTGTTGTCTGGGGTGGCTGGGGGGAAAGGAGTGGGTGTGCAAGCCAGTAAGTATCCTCTTTGCCTTCCTTTGCTAGCTTGTGATTTTGAGCTGGCTGGGGTATGGCTGTGATTCCCCGCCACCCTGAGAACCTCTCAGGACTAAAGCCAGCCTGCTGATCCAGGGGGCATGTCAGTTGAGGGCGGGATGGAGGTGGCTGCAATGTGGGGAAGTGGCCTGCGTTGACCCTGATTTGGGACTCCAACATATGCTTGTCCTTTGGGGGCTGGAGGAACAGGGTCAGGGCAAACAGAGGTCTTGGTGCTGGCTCAGGATGGGGTCTACAGAGTCATAGTTACTGATTTCATTTTCAATAAGCCTCGGTTTGTTACACTGGTTTCCCAGTTTATTTTTAAATGGACTTCCAAAAATAAATAAATAAAGATACCTTGTTTGGGTTCCATCAGATCCTTGTACACTCGTGGTCAATACAGCATTATTCGCAATACTGGAAAGGTGGAAACAACCCAAGTGTCTACCTGCAAATGAATGGATAAACTGAATGTGGTCTACCCATACAGTGGAGTATTATTTCACTATTTTTTTAAAAAAAAAATTTACCTAGCCGGTGTGGCTCATTGGTTGAGTGTTGACCTATGAACCAGGAAGTCACAGTTCAATTCCCAGTCAGGGCATATGCCTGGGTTGTGGGCTTGATCCCCAATTTGGGGCATGCAGGAGGCAGCTGATCAATGCTTCTCTCTCATCACTGAAGTTTCTATCTCTTTCTACCTCTCCTTTCTTCTCTGAAATAAAAAATGTTTAAAATGCTAATTTTTAAAAATTAAAAAAAGGAAATTTTAGTACATGCTATAAGATGGATGAACCTTGAAAATGTTATGCTAAGTGAGAAAAAAAAAGCCAGTCATGAAAGGACAAGGTATTAGCTGACTTGAGCTGCCATAATGAAATGCCACAGATGGGCAGGCTTAAACAACAGAAATTTATCTTCTCACGGCTCTGAAGGCTGGAAGCCCACGATCAAGGTGTGGATAGATTTATTTTTTTCCTGAGGAGAGCAGCTCTCCTTAGCTTGCAGATGGCCAACTTCTCACGTGTTTATATATGGACACCAGTCATATCAGACTAGGACCCAGATAAATGAGCTCATTTTACCCGAGTACCACTGTGAAGACCCTCTCTCCAAGCACAGTCACATTCCGAGGTACTGGGGGTTAGGACTCCAACATATGGATTTGGTGGGGGGGGAAGAGAGACACAATTCAGCTTAGAATAGATAAATATTATATGATTTATGTGAAGTACCTAGAATAAGCAAATTCAGAGAGACAGAAAGTATTAGGTCTAGTAATAATTAATGTCGTTTTCTAATACTTTTTTAAATCGAATTTATTTAAACAATACAACAAAATTTAATCAACAATATAGTTGCCGTTGTTTTCTACTACTTGTGCCCAACGCTCAGGAAGCATTTTAATCCCTCTGTTGTAAAATTCTTGTGATTTTGATGCAAAAAATTCGGTCAATGCATTTTTGAGGCATTCTTCATTATTAAATTTTTTTCCAAGAAGAAAGTTTTGCAAAGAACAAAACAAATGGTAATCGGAAGGGGCAATATCAGGAGAATATGCAGGTTGAGGGAGAACTTCCCATTCCAACTGGCGCAGTTTTTCAGCAGTGATTCTTGCAGTATGCGGTCGTGCGTTATCGTGGTGAAGAATTACGCCCTTCTGATTAATCAGCGCGGGTTCTTTTTCTCTTAAAGCTTGGGCTAACCTTTCCAATTGGGCACTATACACTGCACTTGTAATGGTTTGGTTACATGGTAAAAGTTCATAATGAAGAATTCCTTTAAAATTCCACCAAACACACAACATCACTTTTTTCACATGCAAGTCAGGTTTTGGCGTGGGCTGCGGAGCCTCATTTTTGTCCAACCATTGAGGCCGCCTTTTCAAATTAACATGCAGCGTCCATTTTTCATCTCTGGTAACAATTTGCTCTAAAAACGGCAAACGGTTTTGACGAGAGAGGAGCGACCTGCAAATTGTGACTCTTTGATTACGGTTGTTGTTGGTCAACTCATGAGGAACCCATTTTCCAAACTTTTGGACTTTGCCAAGTGCACGCAATTGACTGGAAATTGTTTTTTGTGAACAATTTAAAGTTGTCGCAAGCTCTTGTTGGGTAATTTGAGGATTTTGCACCAAAAGAGCTTGAAGAGCTTCTTGATCAAAATTGGACACACGGCCTCGACCACGTGTCATCTAACGAAAAATTTCCCTCGCGAAATTTCTCAAACCAACGCTGGCATTTTCTAGCACTAACTGCATCTTGACCAAGAGCACTACAGATGTTTTTTGCAGCCTCACTTGCTTTTCTTCCTAATTGGAACTCGTAAAGCATGCAGTGCCGAATATGCTCTTCATCCGCCATCTTCTTAGCCCTAGTTTTGCAACAAAAACCAAACCAAACACAAACTTTTTCAAGCAAAACTTGTTAATTGCACTTCACACGTTCTGTAGATACCACGTGTTTGAAGGTTATGTCAATACAAGTCAACGCCAAGTAAGATTTTAAACGAATGTTGAAAAACGACATTAATTATTACTAGGCCTAATAGAACAGAGGTTGTCAGGGACTTGAGGGGAAGGGACACAGGAGTTATTGTTTAGCAGGTAGAGTTTCTACTAAGAATGATGAAAAAGTTCTGAAGAGCCCTAGCTGGTCTGGTTCAGTGGATAGAGTCAGCCTGCGGAATGAAGAGTCCCAGGTTCAGTTCCGGTCAAGGGCATGTACCTTGGTTGCAGGCACATCCCCGATGGGGGGTGTGCAGGAGGCAACGGATCAATGTTTCTCTCTTATGGATGTTTCTAACTCTCTATCCCTCTCCCTTCCTCTCTGTAGAAAATCAATAAAATATATTTGGGGGGGGGGGGGGAGTTCTGGCCGAAACTGGTTTGGCTTAGTGCAGTGTTTCCCAACCTTCTCTCATGATGAGAATCACCTGGTGGAGTTGTTAAAACACAGATTCCCGAATCCCAACTAAGAAGTGCTAAACTAGAATTTTTGAGAACATATAGGTAAAATTGCATACCTAACTTAGTGCTCTGTATATAAAATCTGTCTTAGAGCACTAGTTAAGTATACAATTTTACCTATATGTTCCCAAAAATTCTAGTTTAGCACTTCTTAGTTGGGATCCGGGAATCTGTGTTTTAACAACCCCACCAGGTGATTCTCATCATGAGAGAAGGTTGGGAAACACTGGCTTAGTGGATAGAGTGTCAGCCTGCGGACTGAAGGGTCCAAGGTCCAATTCCAGTCAAGGGCATGTACCTAGGTTGCGGGCACACCCCCAGTAGGGGGTATGCAAAGAGGCAGCAGATCGATAATTCTCTCTCATCTGTTTCTAACTCTCTATCCCTCTCTCTTCCTCTCTGTAAAAAATCAATAAAATATATTTTTTTTAAAGTTCTGAAGCTTAATCTAAGTGGTAATGGTTGTACAACACTATGAATATACTTAATGACACTGAATTGTACATTGAAAATTGTTAAAATGGTAAATTTCACGTTATATATAAGTATTTTATAATAATTTTTTAAATAATAAACAAATACTATTTGGAAAATAAAAGAGATTTAAAAATGACAGTAGACACAACTGAAGATAAACCCTCAGATCATACTTTTTTATTTTTTTATTTTTGTTAATCCTCACCTGAGGAAATTTTCTCCATTGAGTTTAGAGAGAGTGGAAGGGAGGGGGAGAGACAGAGAGAGACATTGTGAGAGAGACATTAATTGGTTGTCTCCCAACATATGCACCCCAACTGGGACCAAGGTTCAAACCTGTAACCCTTGACCAAGAATCAAATCCATGACCCTTTGGTGTGCAGGCCAATTCTCTAACTACTGGGAACATCAGGCAGGACATAAGTCATAAGTTCTTTTTTTTCTTTTTTTTTTTTAATATATTTTATTTATTTTTCACAGAGAGGAAGAGAGAGGGATAGAGAGTTAGGAACATTGATGAAAGAGAAACATTGATTAGCTGCCTCCTGCACACCCCCAACTGGAGATGTGCTGCAAGCAAGGTACATGCCCTTGATTGAAATCGAACCCGGGACCCTTCAGTCTGCAGGCTGATGCTCTATCCACTGAGCCAAACCAGTTTCAGCAAGTCATAAGTTCTTAATCATACCTCACTTAGCTTATGAAATCTCCACACTGGTTTCATCCCACATCACCCACCACCATCGCACCACGTTCCAGGGCAAAAACCTCCCCTTTCCCCAGTTCAGTAATAAGCAGAAGCTACCATACTTACCTGCCAGGAGAGCTACCATGATCATGAAGATAGTTTTCCCAGGGCAAGGCTTATCCATGGCACTATGGATGTATTGTCTCCTGCGAGTTCCCCTAATGTGAGAAAATCAACTGCATAATTTGTAATAGTGGGGGACTGTGTTCTTTCATGCATGAAAACATACATAAATACATACATACATAGATACAAGCTGCCAGAGCCCTCAGCCTAAGGGTCCTCACCTTCACATGGTTCCTATAGTTTGAAGTCACTTCATTTGGCAAGTGACTTGCTAGATTAATCCATGGGGAAACCAAGTGGGACCCTGACAATGCAGCCTCTGTCTGGATCCACTCTGCACTCAGCAATAACACAGTGCAAGAAGTAAATCTTTGGAGAGCATTTTCCCATTTATCTTACTAATTAAAGGTCACTTACCGGGGAGAATCCAAGATGGCTGAACAGGTAAACACCTAGCTGCAGCAGCACACAACAATTTTAATAAGATACAACTAAAATATAAAATGGACATTACCCAGAACTACAGGAAAGTCGACTGACTGGAAATTCTACAACGAGAAGCAAGGAGAAAACCAGAAGGAAGAGCCAAGGAGCTGTAAAAGCCTAAGGTACGGAGACACGGAGCGCGCAGAGAGGACGGAGCCAGAGAGGAGGGCGGCTGAGTGCCTGGCTGGCATTCCCCAGCGGGAAGGAGATAAAAGCTCTGAATGTGCTGGGCCCCAGTCCGACTGCTCTGAACCCCAGTTCTAGGCCAGACCCCGGGGACTCAGGCTTATCCATAGGGAGCTGGGCTGTAAGGCGGAACCCCGGGGGAGCGGCGAAAGGAGGTCCCGGAGGCGCGCACATTGCGTGCAGAGAAGGGACGGTTGGCTGTGCCATGGGATTGCCCTGGCGGGAAGGAGACAAAAGCTCCAGACTGCTCTGAACGCCACCTCCAACCCCACTTCCAACTAAACTGAATCCCAATACCGGGCTCATTGGGGGAGAGCCTAGACTGTTTGGTAGCAGGCGAAAATCGAGGACACCTTTCACTCAGAGGCGCTTGCAGCGAGTACTGAAGGACCCTGAGACTCAGGAGCCGTATAGGGCGGGGCTGACGGAAGCCAAGGCTGTAGGCTCCACCCTGAAACCCCGCTCCATCACGGAAGCTGTGAAAATGCCGAGATGAAATAAATCACAAACGAAAGAACTGGAGGACAAAAAGCAACTGGATATAGAGTTCAAATCTACGCTTATAAGGTTTTTCAAGAATTTCCTAGAAAAGATCGATAAGACCTATGAGGATATGAAAAGGGATCAACTAGAATTAATAAGGAACCAACAAGAAATGATATGGAATCAACAAGAAATAAAGAATACATTGTCTGAAATAAAAAATATCATACAGAGTCCTAAAAACAGAATGGAAGATCGCAAAAATCAAGTCAAAGATTGGGAACATAAAGAGCCAGAAGCCACTCCTCCGCAGAAGCTAGAAGGCAAGAGAATCCAGAAAATTGAAGATAATGTAAGAAACCTCTGGGACAACTTCAAGCGAACCAACATCAGAATTATGGGGGTCCCAGAAGATGGGAGAGAGCAAGATATCGAAAACATACTGAAAGAAATAGTGACAGAAAACTTCCCCCATCTGGTGAAATTAGACCTACAAGTCCAGGAAGCCTGCAGAACCCCAAACAAAAGGAATCCAAAGAGGACCACACCAAGACACATCATAATTAAAATCCCAAGAGCAAAAGACAAAGAGAGAATATTAAAAGCAGCAAGAGCAAAGCAGGTAGTTACCTATAAAGGAGCACCTATATGATTGTCAGCTGATTTCTCAACAGAAACCATGCAAGCCAGATGGGAATGGCAAGAAATATTCAAGGTGATGAATAGTAAGAACCTACAGCCAGCTGAAGCCGGTTTGACTCAGTGGTAGAGCGTCAGTCTGCGGAATGAAAGGTCCCAGGTTCGATTCCGGTCAAGGGCATGTACATTTGTTGCGGGCACATCTCAGGTTGGGGGTGTGCAAGAGGCAGTTGGTCGATGTTTCTCTCTCATCGACATTTCTAGCTCTCTATTTCTCTCCCTTCCTCCTGTCTGTGAAATATCAATAAAATATATTTAAAATTAAAAAAAAAGAACCTACAGCCAAAGATAATCTACCCAGCAAAGCTATCACTCAGAATCGAAGGCCAGATAAAGAGCTTCACTTATAAAAAAAAGCTAAAGGAGTTCATCACCATCAAACCAGAATTATATGAATTGCTGAAGGGGGTTCTTTCAGAAGAGAAAGTAAATAAAGATAAAAATTATGAACAACAAATACGTAACTATCAACAAGTGAATCTAAAAACCAAGGAAATTTTTTTTAAAAAATCTGATGAACAATATTAACTGTTGAATATAACAGAATCAGAGGTATGGAAGGGGAGTGAACTGACAATTCATGGGGAAAAGGGGAGAGGGGGATGTGGAAAGAAACTGAACATAAACTATGCACCTATGGATGAGGACAATGGGGGGTGGAGAAAGGGCAGAGCGTGGGGTGGGAACCTGGTGGAGGAGAGCAATGGGGGGGTGGGGGCGGAAAGGAACATATGTAATAATATGAACAATAAAAATTTATATTAAAAAAAAAGGTCACTTACCATGGGAGGACCCAAACTCCTGCCTGCAGCAGGAATCTCTCCCACGGTAACTCTGACAGATACATACCCAGCCTGTGTTTGAACATCTCCAGGGACAGGGAGCTCACTACCAGCGAGCACCAACTCCACTGTCTGAATATAACGTGAAGCCTAGAACAAGCCACAGGGCTCCAGATCTCCCCGCCTGCCACCTCAACTTGCCTCCCACAGTCAGGGACACGCACCACGAGGATCCCATGGTGACTGGAGACCATCTCTCCCTTAATCTCAAAGCAGCAGCCCCCCACTAACCCCTGGTGCCTGGCCAGACCCACTGACATGCCCATCTACCTACAAGCAAATGAAATTTCCATCCATTTTCTTTGCGATCGGAATTTTCAGAGCATCATCTGTGTCTCTCACAGAGCGAGAGGCAAAGTGAGAGAGACAGGCATCAACAAACTAATCTCTGGTACACGCGCCGTCTTCCCAAACCACTTTCCTCTTTAATTTGATTCTGAGGGTGATCACCGAGACAGGCTACACCAAGGGAGACCTGTGACTTGGGCCTCCTAAGAAACTGCAGCTGTAACTCTTCGCTCCTTTAACACCAGGAGTGAGGAGGGGAAGCAGGTTTGGGAACTCATTCCTCTCTGCCACTATGAGCTTTAGGGCTGGTCCTGCCCTGCAGCCCCCCTCCTGTGCCCTCCTCTAGGTCAGCAGGCGCTCTTGTCAATCAACAGAAGAAACTTGCAACTCAGCAGGGCAAAGTGGGGGAAACAAGGCAGGGGGTGGTGCTAACCCCACCCCAGCCCAGGAATTTTAGGGCATGCAGAACTCAAGTGAAAAGGACACCCTCCTGGCCCTGGCCGGCTGCTCAGTGGTTAGAGCATCGACCAGTGGACTGAAGGCTTGTGGGTTTGATCCCTGGTCAAGGGCACATACCTCAGGTTCCACAGCCCCAGTAGGGAGTGCATGTGGGAGGCAACGAATCATTGTGTATCTCTCACATAGATGTTTCTCTCTCTCTCCCATCCTTCTTCTCATTCTTTCACTCTCTAGAAATCAATGAAAAAAATAGCCTCAAGTGAAGATTAACAACAACAACAAAAAAAGAGGGAAAAGACAAATGACACAGGGACAGTAGCTTCCAGGAAAGCACAGAGGGGCAGCTGGATAAAGAAGGGGCAGTGAGATAGACTCGGTGGAACAGGGTGGAAGCCAGAGCCATCAAAAATATGAGGCTAAGGACTATGTGCCCAGCCAGCTCTAAGAGGCAGCTGGAGGATTTGCATGTGCTTTACATACTGGTCTGAGGCCAGTTCATCAACTGCTAAGGAGATCAAGGTCACACGAAGGCCCCCCATTTCACTAGCTGGCCCTTCAAACATCTCAGAGCCGGGGTGACTCCCCTGCTGCCAAAGATGCCCCCACATCATGATACAAGGAACATTCTTTATTATAACCTACCTGCATGCCACAAAAGCATAAACGTGGCTTCCCAGTACTCATAAAGTACAGCAAGTAAGCAAAAATCGGAAGTAACAGTAAAAGAAAACCACAGAAAAGCAGGCACACAAAATGGAACCATTCACAAGGCTAATACAAAAGCAAATAGTCCCACATATGGAAGTTCCTATGTGTGTGTAACTTGATCACTTGCCAATTCGCAGTGTCCTTAAAATAAGAACAAACCAACTGCTCAGGAGAAGTGAAATGATTTCTGCTCCTGAGAGACTACAGCAAGCATATCTAACTCATGGCCAATGGCTACATGCAGTCCACAATGAATATTTTTGTAGCCCAACCAATATAACAATATGTAAGAAAAGTTTTAATAAAAATTTTGTTAACTTAATTTTTATAATATGCTGCTATACATAATCCTATATAATAAAGAGGTAATATGCAAAATGACTGTCACTCCAACACACAAGATGGCCACCCCCATGAGGACACTAGATGACTGCCATAAGATGGCAGGCAGAGGAGGGCAGTTGGGGGTGACCAGCCTGTAGGGGAGGGCAGTTGAGGGGAACCACAGGCCTGCAGGGGAGAGCAGTTAGTGGTGACCAAGCCTGCAGGGGAGGGCAGTTAGGGGCAACCAGGCCTGCAGGGGAGGGCAATTGGGGTGACCAGGCCTACAAAGGAGGACAGTTAGGGGTGACCAGGCAGTCAGGGCAGGGCAGTTAGGGACAATCGCGGCAGCAGGGAAGCAGTTAGGCGTTTATCAGGCTGACAGAAGAGTGATTAGGGGGTGATCAGGCTAACAGCAGAAGTGGTTAGGGGCAATCAGGCAGGCAGGCTAGCGGTTGGGAGCCAGCTGCGTCCTGGATTGTGAGAGGGATGTCCCAGATTAGAGAGGGTGCAGGCTAGGCTGACGGACACCCCCCACCCTCCGCATGCATGAATTTTGTACACTGGGCCTCTAGTTATTAATAACGAACTACAAAGGCCCTAGCTGGTTTGGCTCAGTGGATAGTCGGCCTGCAGAATGAAAGATCCTGGGTTTGATTCTGGTCAAGGGCACATGCCTGGGTT